TTATCAAAGATCTCTAAATATATAACAGAGAGGACCAGGCCATATGTGGCAGCAATATTCTAAGCCTGAACGAATGGTAGACTTGTAAATATGTAAGATAGATTCTGGCGTGAAACATTGTCTACCGTGAACCAACCTTCCTAGCAGTCAATTCGATATAATCTTTCCACTTCATGTCAGTGAAAAACGTTATCCGGAGAAGATGTAACGAGTTACTCTCCTAGAGTATATACTCCACATTGATAATATATCGATCACCCATCTACAGCACTTAGGCGAAATCATACAGTTTATCATATACGTAAGTAAATCACATGGCGGATAGAGGGAAAGAGGGACTAGGGCAAGCAACACCTGACAAGGTCTGGGAGAAATAACAAAAACAGTCAAAGCTTATTGAGAGCTACAAGGGACAGGAGGAAATGGAGAGCCATGATCGCCCACGTCCTGAGGGGACTCCGCACATAAAAGAAGTACATAGCCCAACGAGTAAAAAAAAAAAAAAAAGTATTTTGCACGTCAAACATTTACATTATTTATATTGTTCGGACTGTTGTCCTCATCTTTATTGTCATATTCACAATGTTTCAGCCGTTGTACGCTCTGGACTTCTTCAGATGATATACATTGGAATTTCGAACCGAACCCTTTATTTCGTCCACCGGGTAGATTATTCTAGTTCCACGTGCCATGCCCTTTCTGGATATCTCAGTTTCACTTATTTCCTTTTAGTAAGTCAACCCACCAAGTTTTTATTCACTTCTGCTGTGCCCAGATATTGAACTCAGGAAGAAGGCTGGAGCGTACAACGGCCGAAACGTCGTAAATATGACAATGAAGACGAGGACAACAGTCCGATCAACACCTCATATATAGACAGATATCAAACATTTATTTATATTATTTTCAGTCGGACTAATGTCTCCATTTTTGTTTGTAATATTGCAATGTATCAACCGTTGTGTTCCTTGGCCTTCTTCAAGTATTTAAACGTTGTGAGAAAGAAAATGAGGACATTAATCCGATTGAAAATCTACAAAAGATGACCTGATTCTCTGCCCGTCACACACTGTCTACTTGTGACTTTGTATGCGCGTATGACTGGGTCGTGTTTGAACGACTTACAGGAGTTAGTGTCATTTAATGCAGTGGTTCTCAACCTTTTGTTTTTGTCCAATGCATCATTTTCACCAATAGTCAGAATGTCACTTTCCACACCCACCCCTTTTCAAGATTATCCGACTCAAAAGGCGCATTCTAAATAATATGAATATATTATTGAAAATCTTCATTCTTTTCCATATTAGTACATATACATGTTGTTCTTTTAGAGAGAAAGTTTTACAAATTTAATAACAACAGAAAACGTTGATGGATTTTCAAACTTGAATACATGTTAAGTAATTTTTTTAAAATTCATAAATAACTAGCAGTAGAGCCCGGCGTTGCCCGGGGATGTAACAGTAAGAGATAGATCAAGTATCGACCATCATAAAGACTGAAAAATAAAATTGACAAAGATTATTGTTTAAGGTTGACGGACACGCATGTCTTAATTAGTTTTTTTTTTACGAATTGGTCAAACAAAAACATTATTTTCAATCGGTTGACTCAAACCGATTGAGTAGAACTTTATTATAAACAATTGTCTTGTAAATGGAATTTTTAAAGCATTCTGAATGTAAAAATAAAGAAAAAAGTGTGCAAGGCAAGAAACACTACCTGCCAAAAAAAAAGTGAAGTTTTGTTGAAATCGGTTGAAAAATGTAGGAAATCCGATCCCATATATAAACGAACACACACACACACAATCTGGGTTTTATAATAAGTATAACTCGATATGAGTTGTCTCCCTTTCATTCTCGAAACAGCGATGCCTCTTAATCGTGTTTTCAAATTGATTTCTTGCAAAAACAATTGTGTTTTTCCAATTTTTGGCGCTGTCAGAACCACCGCAAGGTAATTTTACGTAGTCCTGTGAAGTTCTGTTGAAATCGGTTGAAAAATGTAGGAAATCCGATGCAATATATAAACAAATGGACACACACACTGGGTTTTATAATAAGTATGATTATTAAGTAAACTGAAGCAAACATCAATAAACAAAAAGCTCAATAGAATGCCATGGTATCGTAATTCAATAAACAAAATTCTATAAATAAAATAAACAAGATTTTCCCTCCCCACTGAGGGTGGGGGATTCCCCTCTGGCTGAGAGCCCCTGATTTCAGGTATACACAAACACACAAATTTGAAATAAGACATTGGAATAATACATTTTTTAATCAATTCACCGCAAGCAAGGCAATAATACCACTAAGACGCAAAGGGCTACTGGAAGTGAAAGGGAATGTGGATACTTTAGAAGGAACCGGAAACCCAATCATAAACAGGAAACAAGGGATAAACCTCTACACCTGAACGAGCAAGAGTGTGAATCGGATATTTTCCTTCTCCCTCAGTCTGAACAACAAAATCATAAAGTTAGAGACAAGAAAAATAAATAAATAAAAAGAAAACTTAATTTTTAAATCATAAAAGTCCGATAATTATAAGATCTTGATGAACTTATCGAAAATTATTCGATAATAAATAGGATTTTTTAAAGATCATTTTTTTAAAATTTTGCAGTTTAAGTCTGTCAGTGAATTAAAATAGATACATGCGTACTCGCAAACGTACACACACACACACAATTTGAATGAAAATAAAATGGACATCTGTAATTTCCCTTTTTGTCTGGTAAAAACCCCTAGAAAACAGGAAAAGAAAATAGACTGAAATGTGCCACCTTTTGAAGTCATTTCTTATGACTCCTGTATTTAAACTAAATATATTTTCTAATAAATGTAGTATTTTAAATGGACAAACAATTTAGATTTTAAATTTGATCATCTTGACGTCAGCGAAAAGTCAGGTACTGAACAAGTAATAAAAATAATGATAACTTTTCATCCCAGAAGTTTAGATAAAAACATTTGTGTTTAAAGATAAACTTTGTTAATGCACTTTATTCAATGGTGACAACCACGCAGATCGAACATTATACAGTGAAAATTTCTGATCAGAATCCAGGTTTACAACTTAACGGTGCAGCCTCATGTAATAGATGTATTGAAAGACCTTAACATAGCGCAATGTTTAACACATCCGTCTTGAAAGTCTCACTATGATTTTTGTGTTAAACGAGACTTGGATAAGTAATATAATAAAGCCTTTGTGTAAAATCGACGACAGGCCAGGCCTCAAGGACTCAGGGCACTATTCGTTGACTGCACTGTCACTTTCGTATTACGTTTAACTGTGGCAAGCCTCACTATTCTCAGGGGACTGACAAGTTATGAATGCTACCACACTAGCCGTAATCTGTTTCTGTTCTCGCTATATTGCAACTAGCCACCAAGCGATCTGTTCTCTGCTATGTTGCAACTGATGTTGTGTTTACCTGTCGAATTAGATATCCGACAGATCCGTAGTAAAACTTAGCTGAAAACGAATTTAAATCACAAGGCCGCTTCGATAATAACAAACAACTATTTATTATTGGCAATTACTACACAATTATGTCTTTGTTTGTAGCTGAGCGAACTAATCTTTACACAAAGCCAGGCCCAGTTACCCCGTTTCACAACGGCCCATCTCTCGTTGGGACCTTTTGATGTCTATATTTGCTAACTTTATTTTTGTATCCGAAATGTAAACAATTTATGGATTTTTAAATCCGACATTTATTTCTTATTACTGTTTCCTTGATTCCCGTTAAGTGGCTCATTTTCCTTAAGAGATTCGATCTCCTAGGCCGGTAGATATTGATTTCACTGTTAAAAAAATAACAAGGATATCTACTTAAACACGTGTGCCCACGTAGAACAATATTTTTTATTAATAGGCCAATGTTAGAAGAAAGTTAAATGGCATGAAACACTCATGTCATTAGTTAGATAATTATACACAAATTTATTCACCCAATCAGTGAGTTATCTATATATTCAAGTAAACAATATAATTGACAAATCAGAAAGGCTGTTACTTTTCTGACGTTACCTTCGACTTACCTTGTTGAAGTGCCGGTCAGATTTAAAATCTGGGGTGTAGACTCATTGTACGGGTTCAAAACAGGTGCGTTGTACTGATATTCATAATGGTCCACAAAATCGAATGTGTCCAGACCATCTTTGTCCAATGCGTTGATTTTGACTTTCATGAAACCCTATGAATGATCGAAAAAGAGAAAAGTTAATGACTGCTATTCTTATACTTCTCTGCGCCATGTTCTCTTAGGATTTAATGCCTTTTGTTGCTCTAAGTAATTCTTGTTGCTTTGCTCCCAGTCTTTCCACTTCTGGACCATGTTAGGTTTTCCATTTACTTAGATTCGTTATGTAGGTTAAATGCGTTAAAATGAAATGATAATTTAAAAAAATACTTCGTAGAAAATAACACCAACCCTAAATAACTATCATTAATTCTATAATTTATAGGGACGAGGAGAAAACACAATATTCACAGACGCCGTGGGTTTTATATTGTCGTCTGCTGCATTTGTAGATGAGAAAAGTAGAATAAACAATGTAGTTAATTATTATTAAATACTTGTGTTTCGGTTCAATATATTGATTTTTCATTATAGTTTACTTATTTCTTAGATACTTAATTAAACAAAAATAAAATATAACATACACACACACACATTATATATATATATATATATATATATATATTTTCTAAGCGTAGCTTAAATGTGGCCCAAAGCCGAAAGTATGGAATACCCAGTGAGGATCGAACTCAGTAATCAGTTGTAATTGATCTAGCAAGATCAACTTGATACTCATTATATAGAGAGAAGAGGATATATATATATATATATATATATATATGGGGATCTATAGAGATCTATAGATATAGAGCGCAATGAACGACTACAGGAATTCCAAGGGATCATTTTTACTCCGAAGAAAAAATGTTTCGAAAATATATTTGCATATGAAAGAAAAGAGAAAGTTTAAAATATCAGGTCGCCGAAAACTTCTGTACTGCGTTTTTTTTTAGGGTAATCTCGCATCTTTGACCTTTAATCCCGAACCCCTGCGACAAAATATTCTTATTAGTTATGAAAATAATTGCAATTAGGCTAATGTTTCATATGTAGAAAACGTGATGCGAAACATCCCCTTATAAGCTGGCAATTATGACTTTAAAACGGAGATTTCAAAACCGTATATTAGTGTATACAAATATATTAAAAGAAAGTGGTGGAAGGTGGAAGCTTCTTCCCAAGAACTGCTACTTTATGAAAGACTCCTGAGAGAATGCTTTCCTGATCACACCAATCTTAACCTCTTCAAGTTTAGGATTAACCATTATCTTTCCTAGATATACTCAGCGCCTCTTATTTTTCTTACACTCATACAACACAATCATTGGGCACTTCGACGTGGTGTAATTGTTAGCAAGCTTGTCTCGCTTGAACAATTTCAACTGAGTAATGAGTCCGATCTTCACTGTGTGCCCCATACTTTCAACCTTGTGACACATCTAAGCTATGCTTAGTAAATCCCCATATACCCCCCACACACCTTCAGTGGTTCAAGATCTATTCACGGCAAAACATTCAAAAGCAAAGAAGTCTCTTAAACATTTTGGTGGGGAAAAAGCATGACAGATACGTAACCATGCGTGATACACACTTAGGCGATCATGTATCGAAAGATACATGACTGACAAGGCAGATATTTTCCCGCAAAAGGTTGCATTCCTTTCTACGGTAGACTAGTTGCCATCCAAGGCTATAGAACTCGTTATGTCCTGCTATTTACCCTTAGCTGGGGGAAGGAGATGAGGATTTATTCTTTTCCCAAGGGTATTAGCACGTAAGTGAATGCAATGGATTTGACTGGAATTCGAACTCGGTTCTCAGATTCCTCAATCTGACCCGCTATCCATTACTCTGCCGTGCATAAAATCTAATATTTGCCGTGCCATTGGGCTGCAGACGCTGAAAATGAAGGTGATTACAAGTACATTTTTAATAAATAATATTTAAATAAATTTTTGTTTTTATAACATTTTTTTTAAAAAATGAAATTAATTTCTGAATATACTAATGTATACAATTTGTATATTCTTTTTCGTGCGCAGATAAGTGTGCTCCATTTTAAATATTTTTCAAAGTGCTTTGTAATACACAAAAAAAGAAAAAAAACAACATTATTTGTCGTGAACAACTCTCATCTCCGTATCAGTTTAATGAGATAAAGTTCCACTCGAACAGCAGCTTCTCTCGAACCGTTGCTCTGTGGAACAGATTCCAAGGAGGGTGCTTCCTTGGTCACTACAATTTTAACCTGTTCAAGTCTGGAGTTAACCGGTATCATTCTCATATATCTCCCAAAAACTGTGTCTCTTACATTGTGATCTTTTGTAATTATTTACCTAAAGTGGTTCTTAGAACATGTACATGGTGAAAAAGAGTCATTATCACAAAATGAGAAACCAGCGCCAACACCACAACCAGGACTCCATCCACAAAAGCGCTTGCTTTGTGTCTAGTGGAGTATGAAAAGTGTCGTCCATTACGAGCTACTGGAAGACGGAAGGACCATCACTGCAGGCGTTTATTACCAGCAACTTGATCGGGTAAACGAAGCATTACGTCGACTGTTTCCTGCTTCGGTAAACGGTTTTATTATCAAGCATGACAATGTAAGGGTACATTGTACAAAACAACGCTTGGGAATACCAGGTACTGTATGCTTGGATGTGCGGGTGGTATAATGGATAATGACATTAATTGTTAATCGGAGAGCAGGATTTCAATTCCACTTGAGCTCGTTATATTCACTTTAGGTGCAAATTCACTTGTCAAATAAATGATTCCACCTCTTCTTCCCCCAGCTATGGGTTAATTAATAGGATTTATATCACTAAATCATTATCGATAAAAAAAAAAAATTTTACAATCTAAAAATATTTTGGGGCTTTAAATAACCTGCAAAGGGTTGATAAGCTGTAGAAAATGAATCAATTTTCTTTATTTCATTTACTCACTGAGACCAGATAGCGTTTCTGATATGTCCTCGCGATCAAAACTGAATTATGAGTTATAACCAATTAAATATTTGTATGTCCATGACATATGGATATTAAATATTAAAATCAATCAAGTTTATATATTGAAACAAAACAAGATCAATTGACCATTGACGACAATTCCAGAACAACGTAACTATAAACAATTTTTTTCTATCCTCTGCCAGCCGCAATGATGGAGAAAGCATTATCTCGAACCATGGCCAGTGAGACACGCTGCAAGAGCCACTCCGTCTCACGAGGCTTGTCCCTTAATCGAGACGCAATCGCGCCAATCCTCCGAAGGAACGCCATCGAACGAGGGCCAATAACCACTGAAGTCTCCATTGCCACAGGAGTAAAAAAAAAAAAAAAAATCTATCAGCAAGAGAAGAATATTTATTTAACTATTTCTTTCATCTCTGCGTTCCGGGCGACGGATCCCGGCTCAACCGCGGACCTGATCAAATTACCGGCCGAAAATGTATCCGCACAGGTCGCAAAGCATCCCAAAGCAACGACTTCCCCATTTTAAAAGGGAAAATGGTAATGCCATCCAGCCGCTTTTCATCACCGCGGTCGAGGCCTATGGGTTCGATTTGGGAAGGGAACCCAGCTGCATTCAAACCTCTTTTGATGATGTCGTTTATTGCTGCATGCCGTGGAAAGCGGCCGGCACTACGACGACAGGAGAGAGGATGCAAACCAAACTCATCTATAAAACCGAAGACAAAAATAAGACCTTCCACATCCTTCATGCTCTCGGGATTTCACATCTACAGATTTGCATTTGTTTTGATCACTCAATTACATTTCATGAGTTGCAGAACATTCAGAAACAAAGGAGTTGAAAAAGACTTTGAAAGAGTTTTCGGCGGTAAAAAACAAAACAAAAAAAAAAAAACAGGTTTTTTTAAAATATGCCTTACTGTTGGGATGAAGACGCTGTAAATGAAGGCGAACACAATTTTGATAAATATTATTTAAATAAATTTAACTTACATTTGTTTTCGTATCCTTTTTGGTTAAGCGTCATTACTTTTCGAATAACCTATTACTTGTATATTCTTTTTCATATGCAAATAAGAATGTTTCATTTTAAATATTTTAAAAGAGCTTTTTAATAAACAGAAATAATAATCTTTTTTTAGTTATTCATTTATGGCCTTTTTATGCATAGCTATTTTCAAAATAGACGTTTGTTTCTATTAGACGCTAACGGGGTTTACTGTTTTATTCTTATTTTTAAATTATTTTCGCGTTTTTCAAAGAGAATACGTCAATATGCCGACAGTTCGAAATAATGTAATTACTTGCGTTTATTACGGTATTGATTTATACAGATATAGGACTTTTTTTTTTAAACTTCCAAACATTTTCATAAAATATACAAATTAAACAATATTTAATAGTAATACCATAAAAATTAGTTACAATTGCATGGTAACATTGAATAAAATATAGCAAAATACTAAATAACAACAATACAGAACACTAACAAAAATATAGAAATAAAACCAAATGTCAATTACAAGGAAATTGCAGAGAGAAAAACATATATATATATATATATATATACACACAGCGTAAGTAACAACAGAGGAAAACTTAAACGATAAGAAGATTTATATTAGAACAAATTTCCAGGAATTTAAAAATACAGAAGATTTTTCTATCATTCAAATAATAAAGATATTAGAATAAAGTCATGTTGTAAAAATATATATGTGAACTTAAAATGAAAGAGAAAACAACGTTAGTTGAATGGTATATATTTAAAAAAGAAGATCAAGAGAAACAGGAAGAATTTGCAATCTATGAATGGAGGAGAAACTAAAAATCATGAATGGTTTAATAAACAAAAGGGAAGTAAATTTATTTTGAACTATCAGCACGCTGAAGCATTCCTTTGAAAAAAAAAAAAAAAAGATATATATTTCATGAGCGTCCAAGAGAAACAAGTGCCCATCTCTTTCTGGTGTGATCAACAGTTTGTTTCTTTTCTTTTTCTTTTTTTAACAAGGCCCATACGCCTAAGCACTAGGTCATGATGACTTGTAAATTCGTGCTAGTACAACTACTCACAAGACTTAAGTCCACATGTGGCATGTTTTTCAGGTATTTCCCAAGGGTGCCACAGGCTGGAATCACCAGGCCGATAACATCAAGATGTCACCTTCCTGATCATGGTGAGTTTCGAACCCGGATTTCATGTTAGGAAAGCGAACACACTAATCACGTGCATATATATATATATATATATATATATATATATATATATATATATAGCTAGTGACCACTGATTTTTTTTTTTTTTTTGATGATTTAATAAGTGTGACTTATATTCTATATCATTTACGAGTTTTTCATATTTGATTGCATTCTGAAGGATATGATATCAGTTGTATAATAACTCTTTCAGCATCTATCGCTTTCTCATTTGTGTGCGCATATATATATATAAAGCAATGACTCTAAGATGCAACAATAGACAGAGATCGATATTGTACATACTCACAGTCCATGAACTGAATCCTACTTTGATTGGGTTTGCAACACCTCCAATATCGCTGGTGAATTCAATCTGATTCGACTTTAACTTTCCAGTTGTTACCTTACCAAATTCGCAAGAATTCATGCTGCTTGACCTAAAATACAGACAAACAAAAAATGAACATGAAGAATGGAAAAAAAAAATAAGAGCTAAACAAATTGTATTTACAAAAAATGTTGAGTTCTTAATATGTGTGTGTGTGTGTGTGTGTGTGTGTGTGAGTGTATGCGCGCGCGTGTGAGAGAGCCTGTACGCATATATTTTGATAGCTCATAAATCGATATATTTGTATCTGTGTACGTATAGACAATTATCCAGTTGTATATTCTTTGGCTTTTATTTTTCGAATAAATTATTCTTTTTGATCATTTCACCCCAGCAAGGCAATAAAGCCACTAAGACGCAAGTAGTGCGGGTTACTGAATGTTAGAGAATATCAGGAAAAAGTATTAAAAGGCGAGAGAATATGGATTGACTTACTCTGAAATATTTCCAAGACAGATGATAAACTGATGGTCACAAGGCGCGCAATAATCAGACCAGAAATACTTGTAGTCGCAGCAAAATCCTTCATACAACATACCGGTAGGATTGGAAAATTCTACAAACTTAATTTCGACAATTCCTGCAGCTTGGAGGCTGGGATAGAACGAAACAAACTGAAAGTAAATATAACGTTATATAAGTAAATGATGATGTTACCTACACATATTTTTCCAGTGTCCGTATTTAATTATTAGTGACAAAATCAGAATTTTTTTTTTTTTTTAAGGTCAGCAATCACCCCACAGTTCGATGATTGATATAAAAATTGTCCTACTCTATTTGGTCCTAATGAACATTCCATTCCTTGAAAGGAACTATCATCACACACATATATATATATATATATATTTTCAAACAGGTTCGGTTAAATGTTTTAGGCATATCTTGTCAATTACTCTTCATTGTGATCCTTTCAAGTTCACGGATTAATGTTTTGGTAGATTTAGAAAATTGAGTAAGAAAAATACCAAAATTTTCTTTCGAATATTTTTATTGTTCCAAGTATTTTCAATCTCATCTGAGACCATCTTCACGGAGTTAAGTTATATGTGAGTATATATACGTGTTTCTGTGAATTTAAAACTTCATTTCAACTATTCATTTTTTTTTACTGCTTCTGCAGCGTTCTAGAGTTCAAAGTTCAAGTGTTCTTTTGGGTTTTTTCAGTATAAGGGGAGTAACTGTTTTGTTTTTGCCATACATATATAATAATTTTTTTCTTCATAAGCATTTATGGGTTTTGTTGCTATACTCATAGTTAGCTTTATTTATTTTGAGTTTTAACTCTTATATAAAGGGCTTCAAGGATTTTTAGTTTTTGCTTGTTATTGTTTTTATGTAATATAGATGTATTTTTAACCAATATCCGTCTGTGAGCGTGAGTATGTGCGTTTCTTTAAGCCAAATCAAATGTAAGTTTTTTTGTTAGCATCGTCGTAGTAAAGTCAACGTACATATTGACATTTTTATCAGAGATACAATCTTCTAAAGAATATTTAAATTGATATACGATGTTGGCCTTTTGCAAGATGCTAGTTGGCGGAGAAGAGTTGTTATGGATAACTAGGTTGGTTGTATCAAATTTTTAGTGTAGTATATGATTAATTTTGTTTTTTTTACTTTGATCAGTGGGTGATATATTAGTGTTTATGGGTTTTTTTTTTAGAATTTTTTCCTCCTGTTTATAGTTGGAACGCATTTGATTACGATATAGTAATTTGATATGTTTAGGGTTATTTGATGATGTATTCATTTGAATTTATGTTATAATTTCTGATAGATTGTCTAATTTGTTCATCAACAGTGTAATTAGGGAATTCATTATTAATGAGGATTTTTTTAATATTTTTATAATTTAGTGAAGAAAATCTTTTTGCGGGAGAATTTTATTTTACACGGTCAAATCCTCTCCACGCGAGGCGCTGTTGCTATGGTTTCTCGAGCAAGGAAGTTTTTATACCCAATCGATTTTGCATCCCGAGATGTCTTTCCTCAACTGATTGATTACTAATCAAGATTAGAGGGCCCAGTTTGTCCTGTTATTTAATCCATAGGTGGATAGGGAAGAGATAGATTCATACCTTTAAAATGGTATTTGTGCGAAAGCGAACGCCGCGGGACTACGTCACGCAAATATCATATACATACATACGTATATATGATGGGCACAGGATCAAGTGGAAATTATTTTGCACTAATCAGTGAAGTATGGGGGACCTGACTGACGACTTTGAAAAATCAGCAATCGAAATCTGGGCTCTTACCTAGATTTCAACATTGAATACACTCACCAAAGACAAGCGTGTAACTATCTCAGTCACTAGGCAACGCCAATCACACCAATAGGTTGCTATTAACAGACCGATATATATCTGTATTTTTATCTGGATAGTATTTATAGTTTGCAACATTTGGAAAAAAAATCATATTCATGGAGAACTGGATGTGGAATAAACGCAATGGTGACCATTCACGTGACTAGATGCATTCGAAATGGTTATTCGCTGAAGTGCAGTGGCTGGTACACGGAGTAGAGCTTTATTTAGCTTCCACGTCAGTTAATAGCCATCTGCTATTTTTATATCTATATATAGTTTAAATGATGTTGTTGTGGATTCCGGGATGAAATCCGGTCTCAAATGAATGACAAACGCAGGAATGAAATATAGCAAATAAATGTATTGACGTAATAATACAATTGGTAATACGGTTAGTAGATCCAGAAATGCGGTTAGTAGCAATAATAATAATATATACAGTCTGGGAAATTCAGTATCGAAGTATGACTTCCTTCCGAGTATACGTGCTCGCAACTGTGACTCCTACAAAGCGGTTACATCACACTCTCATTGTATCACTTCCGGGTATTCACCGGCAGCAGTACAAGTACACACTGGGCGAGTCCACTTGTATCAAATGGGGTGGACCCCTTAACAGATGTTCAATCTGTATAAGGCCCGGAAGCCACTTGATGTAGAGTGTTAGAGAGTAAGTGATAGTTTATGCGGATATTTGGGGAAGATAACGGTTAACCAATGACTTGAACAGTTTAAGATTGTAGCGGTCGGCAAAGCATCGTCTTGGGTGTCTGCTCCACAAAGCAGCGGTTCGTAGGAAGTCTCTGCTCGATTGGAAACTACATCTCACCAGAAGAATATGAGGTTGGTTCACTGCAATATGCGCAGCATGGCGAGTCTTAGCCATGAAGGTAACCACGCCCACAAATTACTCAACAGTAATTGGACGGAAAATAAACAATACTTTCTGTACAGACAATTTACGCATCGCACGAGCCACATAAAAATTTCTCGTGTTTTTGCTTCACCAAACTAGCTATATATATATATATATATATATATATATATATAAAATCAATAATTGGTCGATTTTTGGTCAATCACATTAATTGACACTTTCTGCAATATCCTTCCCGCGCTCGTTCCTGGAGCCACCTTATATCTATAAAAAGCAGAAATTAAAGAAATAACTTTAGTAGATTATAAATTTTCACACTCTAAACCACGTACGTGTATTTTCAATTTTCTACTCACACACACTCAGACATAAACTACACTCATACAACACAGTGAACTGTCTGTTTTCAAGCCAAGTGAACTATTTGAAACTACATCATTCTTCTGCACAAATATTTCAACTTTCAAACTCAAACATTCTTAAACTACCAACAAATTTAAATGAAAGACATTATTACAACATACATTTGTTCTTCACACAATACAAGGGAAACCACTTCGTGTGATTTAATCTTTGTCATTAACGGAATTATATGTATATACTTGTTTCAATACATGTTTTGCTTGTTGATTTTCATTGATCTCTCGTCATTCCTTTTTGTGTTTTCTTTACAAATTAATTGTGGAATGTTAATGTAAAAATGCAACCTTGATCAAAAACCCTTCTGATCCTTTTCTAACCAACACCATTAGTTACCCCACAGTAAGAACTGGTGGAGCTAAGAAATGTAGCTTGTCTGGACACTTTACATAGAAATATCAATACAACAGTGAGAAGCTTTCGACATTTTATCTGTGAGAAAGGAGTTGTAGAGTGGGGAATAATTTTTTACGCGGAGACGCTTTTGGACTCTACTGAGACTGGAAAATGAAGACTGGACAACTCTTGTCCATATATAGCAGCAGTGCTCCATTTTTGGTCTGATCTGACACTTGTAAAGCAGAGGATAGCACGCAGTGTCAGGTACTAAATGAAGTGGTACCACCTAACAATGGGTCGTATTTATGAGTTCCTTTTAAGGACTACGTTGAGTTTAAGTCACAACAGGCGCCCAAAGTATGGGGCCTCCCAGAGAGAACATCCGTTCAGAGTCATTAGTGATAATTCTGGGTAAAAAGAGTGAAAAGTTTTCGGTCTGACGCACTTCCCAAAATCAAACAAAATTCATTTTATTTTCGAATCCCTTCTTTCTTTCAGCATCACTTTGTAGATTCAGATTTCTTACAATTGTGCTCCTTTATCTTTGTGTAATTTAGTTTCGGAGGCGATAACTAGATTTCGATCCTATCTAAAGCCCCCATTTTGTATTTCTGTGAACGATTGAAGTGAGTCATTAGATTAGCATCGTAGGTCTCCTGTTGACAGTCGAATTCAAGCAAAACCCAGAAATTTGAACGCTGTTTTGTAAATTTCTCTACACTTAAAATAACATTTCTACCCGCTCAAAAATTAGTCTATTTGTGTTCTTGTAAAATATACGATATTTACAGGGTATAAGTATCTGTCATGAAAGCAACGTTGGAAAATATAATCGATATTTGATCGACAGATAATTCTACGTATGTCTGTGTGCGTTTTTGGTGATAATGTAACAGAAATGTTATGTCAAGATATGACGTTTATCTGGTGTCTGCTCGAAATGTGAAAGATGCCATCTTAGTGTCTTAATTTTGTGCATTTTTTATATTACTAATACCTTTCTTGTTGAGAGAGAGAGAGAAGGGGAAGGAGAGGTAGTTAAGGGGTGGGGTTGGCTGTAAGAAAGAGGAAGGAGAATAGAGAAGGAATTAAAGAGAAAGAATAGAGAGCGTTGGGAAGAAAGAAAAAGAAATATGGAGCGAGAGGTGGAGGTAGAGAGAAGGAAAAAGAGAGGAAAGGAAAGAGGAGGTAGAGAGAAGGAAGAAGAAAAAAGAGAGAAGGAAGAAGAAAAAAGAGAGAAGGAAGAAGAAAAAAGAGAGAAGGAAGAAGAAAAAAGAGAGAAGGAAGAAGAAAAAAGAGAGAAGGAAGAAGAAAAAAGAGAGGAAAGCAGAGAGAGAAAGAAGGAAAGAGAGAGGGAGGCAGAGAGAGAAGGAAGGAAAGAAGAAAAGAGATATAATGAAAGAGATAGCAAGAAACTAAAATCGGGAGACAGAAAAGGAATATTTTAAACGTCAATGGGGCTTAAATTACAGATCCCCCCCTTTTCGTCTAAAAGGAATAATTTATTTACCGTTCTCAGCCATCATTAAACAGTTACACCTAGTTCATATTTATTAAGCACAAACCTAGAGATGATGTCATCCAAAATTGGTGCATAAATATTAATTATTATTGACCGAATATCGTACAGTAAAAATTTCAGTTCAAAATTCATCCACATATAAATATGATAGACAAGATGTTGGCAATAACCTAGCATATTTTTAAAGCTCCAATTCAAATATACGCGTACAGTATAAGTGAAGTCATGCGTAAGATGATTTCACAGTAGGTTACTGCACTGAAAAATATTGTATCCAATATTTTATGCATATTATAATTTTAGAAGCAAAATCAATATTTTATACACATTTTAAACTATCGCCTCCTACGCTGAAATATATTTTATTTAATGCGGGTTGTTTCTTTTGCTTCGACTATTTTGAGTCTTTCCTTGCAGTGAGTGCTGTATAATACAGTGCAACCTCGGTTCCTGAACGTTTCAGATGTCGAACAAATCGGTTTTCGAACAGAAAATTAGAGATGAAAATGCCTCGGTTATCGAATAACATAGCCGAACCGATTTAACACGAACGGAATAATTTCTGAGTCAACCGCCGTGTTGCATACATTAATGTGTTGTGCCGTGCTTTTCTTTTCCAATTTTATTGTACTGTGACTTTTTTCTCTACATTGATTCCTATTGGAAAAATAGTTTCGATTTCGAACATTTCGGGTTACGAACGGCCTTCAGAAATGAATTCGTGAACCGAGGTTCCACTGTATTTTAGTATTATCTGTTAATCTTTGCCATACGTTAATAGGTGTATTTTAGATGCTTACGGTGTGATGATCGATGGGCACAAATCGTACAAAATTTCAATAAGTGACAAGTTAACATACGAGAGAGTGTAGTGCATGTGTGACCAATGTAAGAATTTAATGTTCTTTGATTATTCATATTGGATATGCAGTCGAAGGATACTAGAATTCATAAGCAAGATTGTTTTTACATAGGGGATTTTTGAGTTCCCAAGTTATTAGTAATAATTAAGGTAGGTTTTTTTAAACTTTTATAATAAATGATAATTCCGAGGAATCATTATGAGATGTGTAACGTAATTCCGAGGAATCATTATGGGATATGTAATGTAATTCCAAGGACTCATCATGGGATATGTAACGGCGAATGGACCAATGGATAGAGGCTCGGATTGAGGAATCAGAGCCGAGTTCGAATTCCAGTCAAATCCATTGCATTCACTTACGTGCTAATACCTTTGGGAAAAGAATGAATCCTCTTCTGCTCCTCCAGCTAAGGGTAAACAGCAGGACAGACCGCGTTCTATAACCTTAGATAGCAACTGGTATACCTACTGCGAGAAAAAGTCTGCCTCGTCAGTCATGTATCGAAAGATACATGATCGCCTAAGCGTGTATCACGCATAGCACATAACTGACTGAACGGCGAATTACATTTTTAATGGCCTTTTTATATTCTATTAGTTAGGGTGGATCTGGTTACGGTAGAGTAATGAATGATTTTATTTTTACATTTAACCGTCTTAAATATTACATCCCCGAGATGATACGCGTATATTTGTAGCATTAACATGATGTAGCCTACAAAATCTTGTCTACCATACTGACAACACTCAGTTTTCGATCATGACAGACAATCGAAAGTACACGAACAAAACAACGAAAACATTAACTTTTGGTCAGGTTATCCACAAAATTAAAAAAAAAAAAAAAAAAAAAGCATCGACTTGTCGATTGATTTAAAAGAAACTGTTTAAAAATATATACACGTACATTTAAATACACACATATGTACACATATATACATATTTCTAAAGAAGTAATGGATTTTTTTTTTATTAATCCGACATACTTTTATCACTTTAAACGTTATTCTTAGTGAATACACATATTTGGGTAGAGGCTCCGTTTATTTTTTTAAACAGTATTTTATTTTTGTCAACCGGACTGAATACTCGAGTTCAGATTTCTGGAAAATTCAGGCCATGTGTGCTTCCTAAGTTTATAAAATTGAATTGATAGGTTGGCTAATCAAACAAAGGCAAATGAATGGGTACCGATGTGATCAGTACAAAAACATTAATTATTAACCCCATGACAGAAATGAAGCAAGGAAATTAAGGTTCAAAGTTCGGAATTTTCGGGCACGACTGTGTCCATCATCTTATTAGCCGACCTCTCTATTCGATATATATTATGCACACACACACAATATATATGTGTACACTTGCAATTATTCGTGCTTACAGCCATATCACGTTGAAATACAGGTTTCTCATATGATCACCGAAGTTAAATAACGTCGAGCCTGGTCAGTACTTGGATGGGTGAGCGTTTGAGAATACCAGGTGCTGTAAGCTTGGATGTGCGGATGGTGTCATGGATAACGATTTGGAATTGGATATCGGAGAGCCGAGTTCCAATTCCAATCGAGTTAGTTGTATTCATTTACGTGAAAATACGCTTTAGAAAAAAAGGTATGAATCGACCTCTTCATCTCCCCAACCAGGTATGGGTTAATTAGCAGAACTTGTATCAATAAATCATTATCTAAAAATCTTAAAATAATTACTAGACTTAAATAACATCCAAAAATGTTGATAAGCCGTAAAAAACAAATCAATGAAAAAAAAAAAAATATCCAAATTAAATGTTGGAGTTTTACATATAGGTGAGTATTTCTAATAGCAGATTATTGGGGATACGCAATTTCATTAGAGTAACTCTGAAAATATACGATGCAAAATAATCCATTTTGATCGGTGAAGTCATGTAAAAATAAATACAAAGTGAAAATTGAAACAAATGAAATAATTTTTCCTGACCTGAAGGATGAAAACAGTGACAAATATCCAAAGAGTAGCCATCACTTTGAGTCTTTTGATGTCTTTTAGTCGGTGGGCCTCGATCGTGGAACCGTCCACATGGAGGTTAAAAGTAACTTTTACTCACAAAATCCACTATTTCTTTTTAGTTAAGATGCATTTTACTTTTTGAACAATCATTCACACGTGATTGTCAGTATTTAAGAATGCAGACAGGCATTTGTGATATTCTGACGCGAAATTCAGTGAGACATTATTAACAAGAAAAACGAGTCTTTATGTAGCTGTTCAACTTAGCAAGATTATTATTTGAGATCGTCACCGTTTACATCTACATCGGCAAATACCAAACGATATGGGTGAAAAACGATCATGAGCTTTTGTTTTGTGTCATTTTTTAAGTTCCACTTTGACCATCTCAACTGGCTCGACGTCCAATTTGGACTTCCCAACATTAACAAGTGGATATGGCGGATGTCGACTGTTTATCTTAATGTGGATCGGTTGACTTTTCTACTTAATTATCCACTTCAAGATACTGACCCTTCCTCCTTCAAACTCCTGCAAGTCTATATTTGCTTCCCTTAATAAACTGCCGACCCAAAATGAGAGAAACTGATAAAAATATTTCCAAACGGTTATATTTCTATTGTTGCTTCTTTTTTTGTGTATGTTCGTGCCCCCTCAGGACTTAGGCTATCATGGCTCTCCACAACTTCCTGTTTCTCGTAGCTCTTAATAAACTTTGTCTGTTATTTCTAAGCCTTAGGGGCACAAATTGAATGATCGCTCGACTTTTATTTAGAATAACCTTGTTCACGTTTCACTTTTTTATTTTCATCAATATTGTTCTTTAATGTTTCTTAAATTTATTTTAACTCTTCTTTGCAAGTAATTCTTCCATTTCGTCATTTTCTTTGTTCTTCGTCTTCTTTTTCTTGATTCTCTTTTTATTCTTTCTCTTCGTAATTTCTCTCCGTGTTCTTCTTTTACCCTATTTCTTTTCTCTTAGTCTCTTTTCTTTTTAGTTGTTTTTCTTTTTCTTCGCAATCATTTCTCTTCCTCCATCCACTTCACTTCCCAAATTCCTTAGTTTTCCCCCCACTCCAAGCCACTGTATTTTTCTTTCTATCAGTCCTTAATTGATCTGCCTCAAAACTCAGCTGAGCCTGGGGGTTCAAAATGAATATTAACCATGAGTTTCAGAGAGGGCGTCTCCCAGGCACTACCCTCTTATTTGTGATCACTCAACGCTCGAAACGTCCCTAAAAGGAGGAAGTGCCGTAGGGGCATGAGAAATTTTTATACAGCTACCAAAACCCACTTTAAAATTGACCTTGTGCCACAGTTCGAGTTGGTGTATGGATAAACCCCCATGTTCTCACTCTCATTTTTCTCTCCAATCTCTTCTTATGCAAAATCAATTTTGTTTTTTTTTACTCCATACTTTTTGTTTCCTCTTCATGATCTATTTCCTTCATTTAGACTTTTTCTTTTTATATTTTCACTTATTTTTTCTTTCTTGTTTGCAGCATAGTTGGTTGGTTGATTGATTGATTTTGTTTAGCGGCATATCAACACCTCTATGGGTTATCTAATGCCGAAATTGCAATATGAGCACTGGTAAAAAATAGTCCGAATAATGTAAATACTGTACATAATACCTCATCTCAGAAATATAGACAGACTCTGAAGCATCGGTACGGACCCGATATACCAAAAATATGGAGACAAATTGAGAAATCCTACCAGAAACTGGCACGAATATCGAACCATCTGACATTCCTACACCGATGTAGAGACCTACAACTCATCACTTCAGGCTTGGACCAAGACTTCCTATCAATTCAAGGAGAGCTCGTCGGGTCGCAGAAAAAGCGGGATACGCCCTTGTCCGAGAGAGAATCCAGTACAATCTTTGGATAAAACATCGACTACAAGCTCATATCTCCCAGACGCTCGAGGATTTCTTCAACAGAATTACTAATGAAAGACCAGAGAAGGATCCAACATGACCTGGATAAATCCTTCAGTCAAGGCTCGCCAAGTGCAAAAATTAAATAGATTGAAAGATCAGAATGTGACGCACAACGTCCATCACCCACCAGTGAAAGCAGTATTCAACATCAACCAATATCAGCTGAGTGCCTCTGAGGAGTCAGTATTGAATAAGGGTCTCAACTTCGCCACAACCATCAGGCGGGTGCCATACTTGGACATCATTGCCAGAGTCGAGGAGGTGGACTTGAACATCCCTCAGGCTCAGGCGGATGAACTAAGATGGAAAGTAAGACAGGCCTTGGAGAGAGCCAAGCTGCCCAGGTCTAACATAAAACTGGAGAGACTGGCGATTGAATCCCTACAGAGGAACGAAAACATCATCATACTACCGGCTGACAAGGGTAATGCGACTGTAGTGATGGACAAATCAGAGTATACAAGAAAACTGGAAGACCTCATTAGCAATGGTAGCTACAGCAAAGTGAAAAAGGATCCTACTATGAAAACGGAACGCAAACTGTCACAGATCCTAATCAAGAACAAGGATCACTTCGCACCCAAGACGTATAGGCAGTTATCGCAGCGTTACACCAAGCTACCTTACATATACAGTCTCAAATTCACAAAGACGGTATTCCACTCAGGCTGATTGTTAGTTGCCAAGGCTCTGTGTGCCACCCTCTGAGTCGCTTCCTTGTTGATATAATTGATCCATTGATCGGAAAGTCTCCTTCATATGTCCGAAACTCCGCCTACTTCGTGGAAATAATCAAATATGCTCCCATCCTATCCAACCAGATGGTGAGCTTGGACGTGGTGAGTTTGTTCACCAAAGTACCCACGGAGGAGGCACTCTCAGTAGTCAGAGACAGATTGACCTCTGAAGAAAGGACCAGTATTCCAATAGATAATCTGATGGAGATGTTGACTTTCTGTACACAAACAACACACTTCGGAATGGGATCACACATATATCGACAGGATGAGGGCTTAGCAATGGGCTCGCCATTATCACCAGCAATGGCGAATATATACATGGAATACTTTGAAGAAAAGGCATTAGAATCTATATCTCTAAAGCCAACTATATGGTTAAGGTACTTAGATGACACCTTCATACTCTGGCCACACCAGGAAGATGTCCAGGTTCTACTGGACCATGTGAACTCAATAAGACCTTCGATACAGTTCACAATGGAGAAAGAGAGTAACAACACACTCCCATTCCTGGATGTACTAATATCTCGAACAGAGCATGGGTTCAAGACATCCGTATACCGTAAACCAACATTCAACTCCCACCATCCATACAGCGTAAAGAAAGGGATCGTCCGTTGCTTACAACACCGGGCAAAAGTCATAAGTGGCGACCCAGAGACGTTAGATAAGGAATTGGTCAGTATAAGTAGTACCCTACAACGTAACAACTACCCTGGGTACATGGCAGCAGCCCCCAAAAACTGGGATAGGCGGGTACAAGAGGAGGAGGAGGGCAACAACACTCAGAAAACAGTCTGCCTGCCTTATGTGAAGGGGTTATCAGAGAAAATACAAAGGATCTGCGGTCCATATAACATCAGGACAACCTTCAAAAGCGTGACAACACTTCGCAGATATCTCTCTCAAGTGAGACCCCCTACAGAGGAGAACATGACTAAAGACTGTGTGTACGCTATCCCGTGCAGCTGCGGAAAAGAATATAAAGGAGAGACAGGCCGCCCCCTCAAGGTAAGGCTTCAAGAACACCAGAAAGCTGTAACGCGAGGGGAAGTAGAAAAATCAGGCGTGGCTGACCACATATGAAGAGAGAAGGAGATCACCGTCCCCTGTGGGATCATGTTGAGATCATAGACAGGAACACCATTGGAAAATTCGAAAACTTAAGAATCAGCACATATGCTAGGCCACAAAAAATCTCCTGAGCCAACCAAGCATAGAAATAAATACAATATGGGAACCAGTAATAAGGAGTGCCAGAGAAAAGCAATGATAACAAAGTTGCAATATGAACTCTGGTAAAAACATGCAATGATAACAGCAAAATTGCAATATGAGCACTGGTAAAAAAATGGTTGCTGAAAACATTAAGTTTATAATACCCAGAAGTTCATACCCAGGTGTCCTCAAGGACACATGGCACAGTGGATAAAGGCGTTGGTTAGATCCAATGACAGACCCAAAGAATGTGAGTTCAATACCCGGTTAAGGCAGTGGAGAACTTTCAGAGGGAAAATTAGCAAGAGATAACTGATATCCATCAAACATGGCACATGGAACTAGAACAGTCTACCCCAGTGAGCGAAATAAAGGGTTTAGTTCGAAATTCCAACCATCTGAAGAAGGCCGGAGCGTACAACGGCCGAAACGTTGTGACAAAGATGAGGACAATAGTCCGACTAATGTAAATACTGTATCATAGGGAATAATTACCGTGAAAGTATTTATAGAAGAGGCACAGAGAGGCAACCTTACGGCGGTGGCAAAGTGATATATATATATATATATATATATGATAAAAATATAGTTTTAAGT